AGAAACACACAAAGGTCTTACATTAATCATAAACTGATTGGCGTATTAGCTCAGGCTTCTTATTAATTCTTTCTTACATCTTAAATTAGCCCTTATGGCTAATTTAAGAATTTTTTCTTACCTGTGTTAGCCATTTGGCTTGGTACGTTTAACAGTGAGGTGTTCTCATCTTGCTTCCTCTGCATCTGGGTGACAATTGCAAACTGTGCTTTCCTGTTTCCAAAATTCTCCTGTTCTTGTTGCCCCTCCTATACTTTCTGTCTGGCTCCTGGCCAGTCAGTGTTTTATTAAAACAATACAATCTAAATGACAGGGTACAAGACCATTGTTCCACAGCAGCTCTGTCTATGCAGTTCAGGCTGGCACTGAACTTGTGATCCCTGCCTTCACTTTTTGAGTATAGGACTTCAGCCAGTCACTGTTTGAAGTTAGCCATTTAGAGTATACTCATCTAAATTAATCAGCTTGTAAGTGAATTTTCCCTCTTGTTCCTTTTTTCTTTTTTAATTTTTTTGAACTTACTTTTCTTTCTCTTTGAAGGTTGTATTTTTTTCTTTTTTTTTTTTTAAATTTATGTCATTTAGTAGCTACCCTGGAGATGATACCATACTTTTATTTGTTTTCTTGTGAAGTTTTTTGTTGTTGTTGTTTTTCGAGACAGGGTTTCTCTGTGTAACAGTCCTGGCTGTCCTGAAACTAGTTCTGTATACCAGGCTGGCTTCAAACATGCAGACATCCACCTGCCTCTGCTTCCCAAGTGCTGGGATTAAAGGTGTGCACCGCCACTGCCCGATTACCATCTCTGTTCTTAATATCTGTTATTGATAGCTACTTTCCCTGTCTTTCCAGACAGTACAAGGATCTGGATTTGTTTAGGCCCCAGCCTAGGATTCATGGATGTTAAAACATACGTGCTTGTGTGTACACGTGTACATGCACACAACACATGTAATTCTGTGTTTTTAGCGCTGAGAGATTAATTTTAATCTCTTTTAATTAAATTACCTTTTAATCCACAGTAGCATTTTGCTTTATAGGATAGATTTTTTGTTTGTTTGTTTTTTCAAGACAGGTTTTCTCTGTAGCTTTTTGGAGCCTGTTCGGGAACTCACTCTGTAGACTAAGCTAGAGCCTCTGCCTCCCGAGTGCCTGGCAGGATAGAATTTATTTAGATTTAGACGTATTTGTCATCTCTTTCCTCACCTCTGTGTCCTGTTGTCATCTCTAGACTATCTAGTCTCTGGCCTGCTGGCCTCACATGCTGCTTTGGCCTTTTTCCCCTTCCTGCCGGCTCAGTTGTGGTGCAGCTCAAGGCAGTGAAGCCACACCCACCTGCTCTCCAGCTTTCCCTTACCGTGCAGTGGAAACAGGAGTCCCTCTTCTTTCTAGTCACCCTGTCAGTAGGTGACAGGGTTCTTATTAATGTGGTCTTTATGTGAGTCATGTCGGGTAGGATCAAACATGTTTCAGGTGTGCTAGCATGTATGCCTGGCCTCTGGGGGGCAGGTGGCACCACTTGGGCAGAGTAGCCACTGTAGTATGGGAGTGGTTGAGCTTAAGATTTAAAAATGTCATCAGTAGGTTCCTGTTCATAATAGGATTTTTGCTAAGCAAAAGTCATGTTTTCCTGGAGGGGCTGGACTCACATTTTAAGTAATTGTAGCAGGTTTCCGGTGACCTGTGGGTGATGTGATTGCTCAGGGCCCTTGGCCAGACTACTTAAAACTGCCAGAGGCCACTCTGCTCTCACCTTTCTGACTTTTCTTTTGCAGCCGAGTGCTCATTTCTACAGATGTCTGGGCTCGGGGCCTGGATGTCCCTCAGGTGTCCCTCATCATTAACTACGACCTGCCCAACAACAGAGAACTGTACATTCACAGGTGTGTGCTCCTTCCTTTGCTCAAGACTGTTGGCCTTCATCCCTGTGGCTCTTTACTAACACATATTTTATTCTAAAGAATCGGGAGATCGGGGCGATATGGCCGCAAAGGTGTGGCCATCAATTTTGTGAAGAATGATGACATCCGCATCCTCAGGGACATAGAACAGTACTACTCCACCCAGATAGACGAGATGCCCATGAATGGCAAGTTGCTGGTTCTTCTGGGGGCTGTGGGAGGGGCTTTCTTACTAGGAATGGGGGGGGGGGGGTGACGTGTGGCATTGTTAACGTGCCTTTCTTCTCCTTCAGTGGCTGACCTGATCTGAAGCTGGTGCTCGTGCATCAAGGGCCTGGATATGGCGCCTATCGTGAGCTCCTCCTTGGAAACGGGAAGCCTCTATTTAATGGGGTTTAAATGAACTGTCTTCTCACAGCCCCTCAGGAAGACCCTTGGGCGCTGCCATCTTTTCTATCCCACATGTAAATAATCCAATGCTCTAGACTTTTACATTAAACATGGAAATTTTCCCATGAACTTGAGTGTAGATTTCTTGTGGTGTCACCAGCTTTCCTGGTCTGGCCATTTTTCTCCCTAACTCCACATTACGTGCAGAATCCACCTTTGAGACATTTAAGAGTCAAGACGAGAAAACCCATAGTAGAAGTGAAAGGGAAATAGTGATTTCAGGTTTGCAAACGTTTCTTTAAGATGATAGCAAAAGATCTGTGGCACGGACTTGGGGTGGACCTCTCCAGATGGCACCAACGTAGAAGAGTGAAGCACAGGCCGGGAGAAAGCGGGAGGCACGGACTTGTCGGGGTGACCTCTTCAGATGGCACCAACGTAGAAGAGTGAAGCACAGGCTGGGAGAAAGCGGGAGGCACGTATGGCGTGGCCTCTTGGAGCTCGTGGTGGTTAAGTTGTGGATGCTAGAGTAGTCACATGACCCGGTAAACCAGACCCTGCGTACGTGTCTTCACTCAGCCAGGTCACCCTGGGGTTACCCACCCTCTCACATGACTGCATGTGCTCAAGATAGCCCTGGCTAACAGCAGGGTCTGAGGAGACTAAGACCACAGCAGCCTTGGAGCCTTGAAGATGAGGGGTGACTGCAGATGACAGGACAACTCCCTTAAATTGCAGCCCATATCTGTATGTAGCAAACTTGATTTGTGCTATTTGAAGCCTCCACCACCATGTTGTGCTGGTTACAGAAATGAGCTTTGTGTAGGTTTTAGACTGGCCAGCTTTTTCTCAAAAGCAGGGGAAGATTTGAACGGAGGATTGCTGGAGAAGACATGGGTGGCTTATGAGAGCTGGTAGTGGTGCTGGGCACTTGGCAGGGTGAGAATCGCAGTGGGTCCCGCCACACGCTCTCCACACTTGCTAAAGTAAGGCTGTTTTGAGTATGGCCTGGGATGTGAGGGTGATCTGGCTGTCACCTGGTGGCCGGTTGGGTTGGTGCGGGGTTGATGGGGCTGATGCTGGCTAGGCTTGTGTCGTTCCCTTCCTCCCTTTCTAGTGATTGATGGAGGGCTAAAGGGAACTGCTCTCTGTCGGATCTGCCGACAAGCCCCTCCCTGCTGCTGGGACAGGGACCACCACAGCAAAAAACTGCATTCCTCCCATATCACCCTCTGGGTTTGTTCACCACGTGGACTGGAATAGTTGTGCACAGCTCAGTATGTCCCCAGACCCCGCCCCCACAAGGTGATAGACAGCCCCACCAAGTCTAGCTCAGCGCAGCAGCAAGTTTATTGGGGTTACTGACAGAAGGCCGCCACATTACAGAGAAGCCACCCAGCATGCAGAGAGTGGTATCCCCGGACTACAGACTGGAAGCCAGCTCAGCAGCTTGGATGGTTTCCTATCTGGTAGCTGTTACTGCTACACAGCTTTTGGGGAGGCCCTGTGAACCTTGTGTTTCAGGAATTTCTGGAACCTTAATGAGCTTCCCTCTAGGAAGTAATGTTGGAATGAGGCATAGGAAACCACACAACAGTCAAGGACAGGCCACACCACACGGATGAGTCAGATGCTGAATGACAGACGAACTCATACAACGTTCTAGGAGATGTAAACTCCATCTTTTGACCGCTTCTCTGACAGGTTAAGATTTATCGCTCATCTCAAGCTGTCCCTCTGTAGCTAAGGAAAGGAGCCACTGACATGAACTCATACGGCAGCTGGGAGGGGAAAGGAGGACCGTGCAGAGGCCCCTGGCTGCCTTCCCCATTGGAAGGGCCAGGTGGCATAGGCCCAGGCTTTGTACATCTCTACCTTAGATGGATTGCTGAAGCTACCTTAGCCAAGCACTGCCCATGTATCGCTGTGATTATACAGTGTGGGCCACTGTGAGCAAACCTCAGGTCTCAGCCAATGGGACTAGCCCCACTCGTCACCTCTACTCTATCCCTCCCAGAAAAGTTCCTCATCCAGGACTCAGGACAGGCTGAGTAGCCCAGCACTTGGGTGAGGGCTGGCAGGGATCCAGGGGTTGCAGGAGCTGCCTGGTGGGAGGCACTGGTTCCCTTTGCTCCCTTAGTGCTTTCTCTGGACACTCGGGGAGCCTGCCTTCGCCTGTCAGCCCCTCCATAGGCAGAAAGGCTTTCTAGAACCCCAAGGCAGGGAGGAGGGATGGGGCGGAATCTGTGGCAATTACTACCCTTTCACCCCGTCCCCCCCTGGGAGCCAGGTGCCTAGAGGCTCCCAGTTGGCAGTGACCCAGCTAGAAGGGACTCCAGAGTCCCCACACTTTTGGTTCTTGGTTTTCTGGAGATCATAAAAGAGGCTGGGCTGCTGACCCTTAGCCCATCAACCCTGGTGACAAGTTTGGCACAAGTGTCACATATAGGTTCATGACAGACATAAACCTTTTCCTTTGCTCCAGGCTTGCTAGGGAGCCTGGGCCTGAATTTCTGGGGACAGATCTGTGCCTGGGCTAAGATCTCAGGCCCCTCAGGGAAGCCCTGTCTCCACCGCCACCTCGCTGACCAGCTCCAGCCTTGCTAACTCAGGCGGAGTGCTAGGATGGGCAAACCTGAGGTAATGGGATGGAGGGTGGTTGGGAATGTGGTGACATGAGGGTCACATGAAGACATGAGGTGATGTGAGGGCTGGTTCCAAATGTCCCTTTTTATTTAAATAAGTGCACTTCACAGTAAGTTTCTCAAGCTCTGTGAGCCCAATGACATCACTAACTCTGTCTCTCTGTAGGGTCCCAGTGCAGTGGCCGTATGGCCTGATGTTGGCACAGGTAAACCGTCCCCATGCTGTGCTTCACATTGTCTATTGCCAGGGATGGACTGCTGGGGCGGACAGGTTAGCAAGCCTCACTTCTTTCCTAACACGGTACCTCACGGGCAGCAGCAGCAGCAACACAGTGGGAAAAACACACAGGACTCAGGTCCTCAGTAAACACAGGTGTGGTCTCCTAGGACCAATTAATCTGAAACTGTTCTCCCATGAGCAGCGAGACAGGGATAGCCAGGGTCTGGAAGACAGAAAAGAGGTTGAGCTCCAAGTGGTTCCCACCCACAGCCATGCCCTCCTCTCCACCGCCTCAGAATTAGCACCTGATTCCATTGGGAACAAGGTTCTGTTTGGCAGCCCAGCCTCCATCATCTCTGCACTCCAAGGCAGAGATGGCGAGGGGTCTTATGAAAGTGTGTCTCAGGATAGCTGGACCACATGAGTCCCTGGGGTCCTTAGCACCCGTTCTCCCATGCCCACCAGGGCACAGGAATCCCAGCCTCCAGCCTGCCCTTTTACCTTGCTGTCAGGGCTGTAGGTGAAATTAGAGACAGGGACACCATTGGAAAGGACTTGTGTAGGGGCTGTGGTCACTCCCAAGATGGCCACCTCCTTCAGCTGTAGGTCAGTCCCCTCCTTAGTCATGTGTACTAACTCATTCACAATGGTATTCTGGTAATGTGGAGAGAAAAAAATGTGTCAGACTGTGAGAGTGAGCCCACCACCAGAACAGGAACTCACAGGCCAGCCTCCTGTGTGCTGACATGAGGGACATGCTGACCCAGGGATGGTGGCCACTGGGTTCTCTGGCCCAGACCCTCCCTCCACCAGATCACGACAGCCCACCCCCATGTCAGCCATTACTCACGTTCTTGGCCAAGAAGGTGATCAGTGCGTAGGCCCCTCGCTCAAGAACCCCAAGGCTCTCCCCATCATCCCAGTACAGCTCCCCACGAGCCTCGCCGCTTGCTGTTAAAGCCACGACCAGGGCCATGGGCTGCTTCCGGGATTCCGTGGTTGTGAGGCTGGGACCCTGGGAAGAGGGTGAGCACATGTCACACCTTTGACCCTGGAGACTTCCAGGACATCTATGATGACTACTTTGGCCAGGTGTTGGGTAACCCAGGATGTCAGGCGACTACCCTGGCCAAGTCCTGTCCATGCCTCCATGACTGCCAGGGCTTTATACTGTGCCTGCTCCCTGCCTCCCTCCTGAAGTAAAAGTCCATCCCAGTCCTGCCCAAGGCCCTGGGGCTGCTGGATCTGGGTACCTGCAGCGGTAGGATGTATCCTGCCCTCAGGTGCACATTGATGGTATCCAGTGGGGCTTCGAGCGTCAACCACTGCCCCTTGCTGTGGACAGCAGATCTGGGGGATGATGGAGGTGATGGAGGAGATGGTGGAGGAGATGGGAGGCTGCCGAGAAACTCCACTGGCACCTGGAAGAAGGGGTCACATCAGAAGGGTCCGGGGCAGCACCCAAGCTACCACACTGGTTCTTGGATCCATGTTCTCCTGTCCCCTAAGGCTATGTGTGGTGGTCCAAAGGTCCCCGTTGAGACAAACTGGTTGTGACCTCAGTGTAGGACTGAGCAGGGAATGCCTGGCTTAGCTCAACTTCAATGCTGTGGGGCCCTGGAAGCTACCCACTTCGGCCTGCACTTCCTTATCTAGAGGTGGGGGTTACAGCAAAAAGCTAATACACGGCACCCAGGGATGGACCAGCATGGAGCTGGGACTCCAGAGCAGGTAACCTTCCCTTTACTATGTCACTGACAGGCCAGGAAGGCATGGCCACCCTGTGACGACCTATCACTTCTGTGGATAAGGGACCGCAGACTCACCATCTGCAGGTTGTACCACACGCCCTCAGGGAAGTAGCCAGTCACTTCAGTTTTCCCGGGCTCAAGCACAGGTGTGATGAGCAGAGCTGACCCCCACAAGAGCTGGCGGTCCACAGACCAGGTGCTGGGGTCCTCAGGGAACCTTCACAGAGAGACAGGCATGAGGGCCTGCAGCCTGGGCTCTGGCACCAGCTGCTCAGCTGCAGGGACAGTCGGAAACCCAGTCCCTGAGAAACTTTGAAACTTCAGGAGCCAGAGGAGTTGGGTCTGGGCCAGAGTCCAGAACAATTCTTTTTCTTTTTTTCTTCCTTCCTTTCATTTACTTTTGGTTTTACAAGACAGGGTTTCTCTGTGTATCCCTGGCTGTCCTCTCCTGAATGCTGGGATTAAAGGGGTGTACCACTCAGCTTTTTAACATGAACACTGGGGATGAAACCCGAATCCTCGTGTTTGTAAAACAAGCACTTTCCCAGTTGAACCATTCCCCAGCCTAACCACTTGTATTTAGCCACCTAGTCCATCTGGAACGTTATCTGTGTGCGGTAGGGAAGAGGCTGACTCCTCTAGAGCAAGCTACTTGCCTTTCTACCCAAGAACCTTCTGCTCTCTGCCCACTGGAGAGGTCACAAGTAATGCCTATGTGAGCAGAGTCTGGTCTGGGGACACAGATGGGGCATCTCTGACTTGTCCTCCTCCCTGAAGCCACCTCCAAAATGGATCACCATGACAATTTCATCATAATTTTGTCAGCCAGCAAGCCTGGTCCGTACTCCAGATATCCTGGCCCCGCTGGGATCTAGGAGGCCTGAGGGTACAGGAGCACTCTGGGCACACTCAGCTGCAGTCTGTTTTGTGGGAACACAGCCCAGAGCAGGAGGAGGTTCCCTGGCATCAGCCCCCCAGGGACACATGTGAACTGTCATTCCCTGACCCAGGTGACTCACTCCAGGAAGAGGGGCCGGGCCACTGTGTCCCCTCTGACGTGGGCTCCATGGAACAGAGTGTACAGGAAGGGCAGAAGCGCATAGCGCAAGGTGAAGGCCTTCCTCATGGCCTGCTGTGCGGTCTCGCTGAACCTGTATGGCTCCTGAGCCTATGTGGGCAGAGAGGGCAAAGGAGGTGTGCTGGTTAGCTGTCCATCAACTCAACACAAGCTGGCATCATCTGGGAAGAGGGAACCTCAACTGAGAAAATGCCTCCACCATACTGGCCTGCAGGCAAGTGGCGGGGGCCGTTTCCTTACTTAACGACTGATGTGGGAGGCCCCAGTCTACCTGGGTAGGCGTCCCTGGGTTGTATTAAAAGCCTTCAGTTCCTGCCCTGACTGCCCTTCAGGTCGGAATGTAAGACTGAAAGAGAAACCCTTTCTTCCCCAAGGTGCTTTTGTTCGTGGTGTCTATCACAGCAACTAAAGCGCAGTAGACCAGGAGGTTCACTGGGCTCCTAGGCCAGGGCTCAACAGAATGTTCACCCCAAGAATCTACAGCTCCTTGGCCATCCTGCGTGGACAGGACAGCATGGACTGGGCTCCTCCCGTAGGGGTGGGATTAGGCAGGACAGGGTCTTGGTGGGTAGGAACCCCCATCGCCCCCTCCTACCATGCTACTGAGGTCATTGTGGTTCCGCATGAAGGGGTAGAAGGCCCCCAGCTGGGTCCAGCGCACACAGAGCTCCTCTGATGTGTTTCCCAGGAAGCCGCAGATGTCCGCCCCCACTAGGGGCACGCCTAGCAGGTTAAACTGCAGGATTTCTGAGAGGACAGAGGCAGGGTGGCACCAGGTTACCAAGACAGCAGCTGGACAGTCAGGCCTCACCATCCACCAAGAACCCATTGGCCTCTGTGCTTTCCGCCTGGGGTCAGCAGCTGCTTCCCAATACCAGGAACCAGCAGAGTAGACCAGAGCCCAGGGTGCTGAGAGGCACGCTGTGACCTTATTTGGAAACATGAGCTAAGGTGAAGCGGCTGGTGTGGTCCTAGCCTAACAGCTGATGGCCTCATAAGAGGAAAATGTCATGTGAAGAGAAGGTCACATGGGGAGATAGCCCTGCAAGGAGATGCCCAGGAGACCACGAGCAGAAGGAAAGGTCCCCAAGGCTGTGCAGGGGCACCGAGTTACACCTCTGTGCAAGGGGGCACTGTCAGAGGATGGATTCCTGTTACATTAAGACCCCAATGCTGTCCTCAGGGATGGCGGCCTCGGGACACTAACAGACAACTCAGGGCCTGTTCCCCTGACTGCTAAGGGCTGGATGAACACACGTTGTTCAGCCCAGTGCCAACCCCAGTCCCCCTCTGCTGCACTGGCTTCCTTAGATCCAGGGAGCTGATGGGCAGCCTGGGGCCCCGGAGACTTCGTGGAGCCAAACGTGACCCTGCAAGCATCTAGGACTCGGCTCAGTACTTGTCGGCTCAAAGAAATGAGCCCAAAAGAGAAGGGAGCAAATCCAGACCCCAGCTCCACAAGGCAGTTAGAAGTTTGGCTCCTGGCTTGTCAGGCCTGCCCAGACTGAGCTTCAACCCACAGGGCAGAGGTGGCCAGCTCACCTCTGAGAGCTCAGCCAGCTGGGATCCTTCGTAGGTCTGTGAACATCTTACACAGAAGTCAGAAGGTTCTAGACTCTAAGTCAAGGCTCTAGCTGCCCATGTGGTACCATGGCTCCCCTCCTTCCCTACTCTGTTCTCCAGGGTTCCTGCCTTCTCTGACCTAACATGGGCCAAAGGTATCAAAGTTCTTGGAACAAAAATTAAATTCCTTTTAGCGAGCAGAGCAGGTAGGTGGCTCTGTATCTCAGGATGGGGTCACCAGGGAACAACTGTGAAAAAGGACAAGCACTGGTCAGGGAGAACTGGACACGGGGACACTGACAAGGTGCCATGGGTGAGCCGCTGACACAGGGAAGCATGTTTGCACAACTGAGTAAGGACCCGCAGGCTTCACGTCCCACATGAGATAGCAACTGGTCCCCAAGCCATCTCAATATACTCTGTGGGGCTTAGCCCAGAACCCAGTGCCCTCCAGGCAGCTTGGACTCACCTGGCACAGAGTTGGAAAGATGCTCCCAGGTGCTCCACACATCCCCTGTCCAGTGGCCAGCATATCGGCCATGGCCAGCGAAGGTTGAACGGGAGATCACGAAGGGTCGTGTCCCCCGGGTCTTCACTAGGGCCCTGAGTGGGGTGGGAGTAGAGAGCTGGGCTCACCTGGGTGATACACAGCCAGGGCTCCAGGGGTCAGGGGCAAGGGGACCAGGGCTAGAAGGAACTACCGTTAAGGAGAAGGACAGAATGAATGGAAAAGAGAGGCTACCACCAAAGTATGCTAGGCAGTCAACCCCATCCCAGTGACTCTGATGTCTTCTAGAGGTGAGCCACCACTCTGAGCCTTGTTGGACTCACGCGGTCCCTTAGATGCCATTCCCTACCCAGGTAACACCTAGGATGTCCTGTGGAGAGAGGCTTGCTCCAAGCTGGTGTGGAGAGTAGTGACCAGTTGGACAGAGTATGCAGTCATTGCAGGCCTGTGGGTGGTCTGGGTGCCTCTTTCCCTTCCGTCTACGACCCCGATGGGGGTCAGCTCCCCTCTCGGCCCCCGCTGTGCGTGCTGGGCAGGCTGGTTGGCTGTACAGGGCAGAGGCTCACCTGTTGGAGGCGATGGCTTCAGTCAAGCCGTACAGGTTGTGGAGGTTGTAGTGTGTGGAGAGGAACTGGCGGCTGGAGGCACAGATCGTAGCTGCCTGCAAGGTCCCGCCAACCACCCCTAGGCAAGAGGAGGACTAGTTTAGACTGGTTTACCAGTTTCCAGGGCTCCACGTGCTCTCTTTTGCCCAAGTCCTCTGCTCAGATGGGCACCTCCTCGGGGTCAGCCCAGGACAGAGCCCACTTGCCCCATGATGCTTGAGGCAAGTCACCTCTGCAATTCTAAACCAGAGCGGGTGGTGCCAAAGATGACCCTCTGCAAACCTATCGCCTCCATATTGACCTCCTCTTGCTTCATCCCCAGCATCTGCCCATCTGAGCACAAACCCCTTCCCCTAAGGCCCTGGCTATGTCACTCTCCAAAAGACCTCATGCTTCGGGTTTCTCTCCTCTTTGTCCTGATGGATGCTCTGCCTGCTGTTTGCCAAAACCGAGAATTGTGCATCCTTACACCTCAAAGGGGCACTCCCTGGTCAAAGCCACTAACTCTAGTACCGTCCCTACTCCCTCCAGACAGACAAGTGGGGCTCACCAGGCACATAGGGTGGGTTCTCCAGTTCATTGTCAGGGCAGCCCTGCTGAGAGCCTCTAATGAAGTTGGATGGTTCATTCATGTCCTGTAAGAGACCTAAGAGGTAGAACTGGGTTGGTCCCCAGAGACCAGGGGTGTACCCAGGGGCAGGGGTATACTTACAATCCACATTCCATCAAAGGGCACCTGGGCATGGAACTCAGAGACCATGTCCTTCCACCAGTCAAGGGTCTCAGGGTTGGTGAAATCGGGGAAGGCTGTGGATCCAGGCCAGACCTGAAGAGTCCAAGAGGGGAGAACCGGTCCCATGCAGACCCTGCACCACGGCGCTGTCAGGCCTCAGCCTTGGGCAGAGCAGCAGCTTCATGCTTAGCCAATGCTGACACATCAGCAAACCACAAGCCCAGCAACAAACAAGCCTCTCCCACAATGCCTAGAGCCTTGGAGGGCTTCAGCCTTGGGACAACAAGTGCCGTCCCTACACACAAAGTCATGGGGCAGAGGAAGCATGGACCCAGGGCATTGGGAAAAAGTTGAGACAACCCCATTGGAGCCCCCTCATTGGACACAACCCAAGCCTGCCCTTTCCACAGCTAGGGACATCTTAGGATGGGGAGGTTGGGACTCAGAACTCCCAGAAGGCCCCCACGGACAAGAAGGACAAGGGAGACCCCCAAGGCCTCATGAACGGTCGCTAAACTTGAGTTGGGCCCAGTTGCTCATGCCTGAGATCCCCCTCATACTCTGGAAATCCCAGGTATTTGTCAGAAGTTCTGGTCACCCCAAGTGAGGACCCCCACTTGCCTCTGTCCCACTCGACATGGTGGCTTCTGAATCTGACCCTTTCCCTGGACAGCTGTTCTGTCTCCTGCCCGCAGTCCCCACCCCCTTCTTCCACACTACCTTCCCAATCAGTGGCTGCCCAGTCTCATTGGTGATGAACACGCCCCTCCGAAGACCCTCGTCATAGGGCCTGTAACTCCCAGGAGGGCCTGAACTGCTGATGGCAGGGTCCTGGGGAAAGAAGCCGGCAGTGAGAGGGGATCAGTATGAGCCACCGGATGAAGAGGAACCGGTGAGGCAGAGACAGGAGGGTTTGTGGAAATGGCACTGCTGAGACCTGCCGTGGGAGGATAGAACAGGTGACAATTCGTGTTCAGTGGGTCGACTCACCCACCTAAAGAATGACTCTCTAGTGGGGAGCCCCACCTGGTAAGATCATGGGGTCACTGCCTGTAAATGACCAGCTGCTCCTGTCTGAAAATTCTCTCACATGCCACTTCATTTCTTCTTTCCTAAGAAACGCCTTGGTTGTTTTTTTCCCTCTGCGGTGTGTTTATCTTGTGAAAATATTCCATCTACTGGGTACACATATAGCTGTGGCTGGTCAGGAAGATGATTTCCCCTTAATCAGTATAATTCTGATGAATAGAATACTAGGAAAATTCTCACTACTCAGACTGACATAAGAAAGTAATAGTATTCTCAGTCACCAAGACAGCTAATTTTAGACTTCAGGACAAATTCAAGTCAAACGGGTTGCCCTTGGAGATGAAATATCTAGTTGCCCCTAGAGACAAATACATGAGGTCATTTTCCCCAGGTGTTTATTGCTGATTCAAGTTCAGAGGGGGAAGCAACTTTAGCAGATATAACATTCTTAGTAATTGACACTTTGCACATAGTCCCAGCCTCAGTTTATGTCACAGGCTCAAGGTTATTTTCTGTCTGGGAACCCTGTTTAGGCTATGTGCATAGCCAAGCATTACTCACTGGTCAGTCAATGTGACCTCCCTAGTCTGAGAAATATTGTGTTATGAGAATGGGTTGGGCCCTGATAATGTAACTTATAACTGTCCATAGTTTGGCTGTGAGGAGAAGCTGCGTAAGGATCTCCAGGAGAGGCTATGGAGAGCTGTGGAGAAGGGGGTGGGAGGAAGGAAGCATTGTTAGAGATGGGCTGTGCAGAGCTATTCAGGCGCTGGGTAGGGGCAGCTATGTAGAGAAGCCAGAGAGATTTTCAGAGAGCATTTGTAAGTCACCATCAGACAGTGCATGTGTTTGCTTATTTTTCCCCTCAGATAGAAAGTCTAACCCTCAGACAGGTAAGAATTTTTCCGAATCACTTGCTACATTTGTAGATTTTTTTTTTTTTTTTTTGCATATCCTGGTGCTGACTGGAGGCTGCCCCACCCGCCCCCAAGTTCGCAATGGTACGTGAAAACGGCACACAGTTGGCTAGTCTGAAGAGCTGACTAGAGGTGTGAGCTGGATTCCTGATCCTCCTGCTCAAGACAAATGATTACTGCTTGCGTCTTTTATTTTTATTTTTGCTTCCTGGGGCTGTTTTGTTTTGTTCTTTAAGACATGGTTTCTTTGTGTAGCCTTGACTGTCCTGGAACTCACTCTGTAGACCAGGCTGACCTGCCTCTGCCTCCCGAGTGCTGGGATTAAAGGTGTACGCCACAATCTAACTTACTATTTTTAGTTGTGCATGTGGTAGTTTGACTGTAACTGGCCCCCATGATCCCGTAATCTCATAGGGAGTGGCACTGTCATGGGGTGTAGCTTTGTTGGAGGAAGTGTGTCACTGTGGGGGTGGGCTTTGAGGTTTCATATACTCAGGATATGGCCCAGTGGGTCAGTTGAATTCCTGTTGCCTGCAACATGTAGGACACTTGGTTATTTCTCCAGTAGCATGCCCACCTGCATGCCGCCATGCTCCCTGCCATGGCAGACTGAACCTCTGAAACTGTAAGCAAGTGACCCTCAGTTAAATGTTTTCTTTCTTCTTTTTAAAGATTTATTTATTTATTATGTATACAATGTTCTGCCTGCATGTATGCCTGCAGGCCAGAAGAGGGCACCAGATCTCATTACTGATGGTTGTGAGCCATCATATGGTTGCTGGGAATTGAACTCAGGACCTTTGGATGATCAGGCAGTGCTCTTAACCACTGAGCTATCTTTCCAGTCACAAATGTTTTCTTTATAAGAGTTGCCATGGTCATGGTGACTCTTCACAGCAATAGTAAACCCTAACTAAGACTGTATGTGTGTGTGTGTCTAGAAGAAACTGTTGGTTCCCTGGAGCTGAAACTACAGGGAGTTATGAGCTGACTGATATGGTACCAGAAGAACTGTCTTCTTCAAGAACAGTGTGCTCTTAACTGCTGAGCCATCTTTCCCGGGGCATACAGGTGCTTCCAGAAACCTGGTCAGAAGACACTAAGCCTGCAACCCTCTAGACATTTCTTCAACATCAAAGACTCAGAGAATGTCCTAGGCAAGCACTGACTAGAAGGAAGAAGCCACACAAATACCACAATGGCTAAGTTCAGATCTGCTTACCACGATCATCATGTACCGCCGGCCACCCTGGTGGAGCTCGCGCACCATGTCTGGGAAGTCTGCAAAGCCATCCTGGTTGAAGGTGAAGTCCCTGCGGGCGTCCATGTAGTCCAGGTCGTTCCACTGCACATCCTGCGGCACGGGACAGGAGCTGAAGCTGAGATCGGGGCCCAGCAGTACAGAAGCTGGGGCTGCCCTGCCCTGACTTCCACTCACCAGGGGGAAGTGTGTTCTGGTCATGTTCTCCACCACCTCGCGGATGATGGCAGTGGAGGAGTAGCCCCAGCGGCACAGGTGGAAACCCAGGCCCCAGTATGGTGGCATGAAGGGGTATCCTGCAGGCCAGGACCGCAAGTGAGCAAGGACTGGGGGCAAGGGTCAGGGCCTAGGGGGTCTGAGATCAGTGGACCGAGAGCAGGCCCTACCCACGACATCCAGGTACTGCTGCACAACGCTCTTGGGCTCTGGGCCTAGGAACACGTACACATCCAAGATCCCACCTGTTGACCTCCAGGTTAGGGCCGGGCTGGGCTGCAGGACCACATCTGGAAGAAAGTGACTTAGGTTCAGGAACGAGTCCCCCACAGACAGGCCAACCTGCACCTACAGAGTGTGGCTCTTCCGATATGAAGGCTGGGAGATGCCCACAGGGCGGGACTGGGGCAGCTGTTCTGAGCCCAATTTAGTAAGGCCTGAAGGACGTGGAGTGGATGAGCCTGGGGAATCCCCCAGATCTCCTTAGGTAGGGGTGGGGAGTGAGCAGGGTGAGGACTCTGCCCACTGGACTGTCTCCACATAAGGGCCCTTGAGACAAGCAGACTCCGGGGCAGGCAGAGCCTCAAGCTCTCCTGCTGAAGGATGACCTAGGAACTACAGTCTGGTGACTCACCCATGGCATTGCTGTTCAGCAGGAAGACACCATGAGCCAAGCCACCGTCCTCCAGCGCCAGGTAGAATGGGTGTGACCCATAGAGGTTGGCACCTGGCTGGAATGACAAGAGACAGCACCTCGCACCCAGGACCCTAGCCTCCACCTTCCCTCCTCTGCTCATCTCCTACCGAGGGTGCCAGGTCCCGGTTCCAGAGGGTGACCCGCGTCCATTCAGTGCTGAGCATGAGCGGGCTGAGGTGCTCAGCGAGGCCCGTGACGTGCTGGGAGGGCAGTGACGTGGACAGCTGCAGGAACTGGTCGGCGAAGAACAGGGGGGCCACGGTAGTGTTCAGCCTGTGGGGAGACATTAGGCTCCCTTGGATGGACCCCAGGCCACACAAATCCAGGATGGTGGATCCATCCGAGGGAAGGGTTGGAGAGGGACAGAGCGACCTCACCAGTTCTGCTTCAGGCCAACCCTGGGACAATGGCTATCTAAAGACCAGAACACCTGCAAACAGTGGGAAAGCCAGCGCAGGCATGCTCAGAGGGGTCCATGTTCCCCTAGGTCAGAGGACACAGTAGTACAAACATGAGGTCCTGTCAGGGAGACATGAACCCTAGAGAGTGAGTTAATAACAAAGCTCACAGGAAGAGATGTGTATTTGATAAATAAAAGTAAGGCCACGAGGTGCGCCACCTGCAGGGGGTACCACTGTGAACTGGATTGGGTCTTTCCCTAGTACCACTGGGTGGACCATCCTGTGGTGGGTCATCTCGGATAGCACAGGTGCCAAACAAACACTGCTGTCACAGCAATGACGTCATCTCCACACCCCTTGTATCTCCTGGAGGCCTGAGGCCTCACTGGGAAGCCATGGAGAAAACCTCTCAGACCCAGTGTAGAAACACCAAGCCGAGACCTGGATGCATGCCTGGTGGTCCGCACACAGGGAGGAGGGAGGAGGGCTGGGTTTTGTCAACTTGATACAAGTTAGGGTCATCTGGGAAGAGGCACTCTCGATTGAGGAAATCCTTCCGTCAGATTGGCCTGCAAACAATCCTGTGGCGGCCGCATTTTCTTGATTGATGGATGGGGAGAGCCCAGCACACTGTGGGTGGTACCACCCCCTGGGGATGGTGGTCCAGGGTTGGGCGGCCTCTGCTTGAGTTTCTGCCTCCAGGTTCCTACTTAGGTTCCTGCCCTGATTACCTGAGTGTGACCTGGGAGCTCTAAGAGGAAACAAACCCTTTCTTCCCCACCTTGCTTTCTCCCCTAGTGCCTATCACAGCAATGGGAAACAGACCAGCTAAAGGCAGAGTCAGGTTGACAGCAGAGCCAGGGATGAGGTGGACAGGTTTGCTAACTTTGGACGTTCTGACCTCCGAGGGGCCACCATGTCCCTGTCAACCCCAGGGTAGGGTCAAAGTTCCAGGCACCCAACTTACAGCACCCGGCCATTCAGCTTCCTGCGGACAATCACTCCGAAGGGATCCTCTGAGAATTCCACAGTATAGAGGGGGGACGGTGCCTGGCTCAGGACATGCGGGGTCTCCATGGGCACTTCGTAGCGCTTATTAGCGGGGTCTTTGATCTAGGAGAGAAGAGAGAGAGGTGCCCAGAGCCCTTCAAGAGCCAGGGGCCCCTTCCCTCACCGCAGCCCCTCCACACCTCCAGGAGACAAGGTTTCGAACAGTCGGTTTGTTCAGGTCCCTCCCAGGGTAACTGCACACTGTGCCGCCATGGGCCTTAGTTCCCTCAGCTACTAAACTGGAGGGAAGGAGGCCTCCCTGAGGCTGCCAAAAGCAGAGCATTGACTAAACCTGAACATCACAGAGACAGTGAACAGTTTTGTGTTTGCTCTTTTTCCCCCTTGCTTTTAGTTAATTTATTACATTTTGAGGCTAGTTCTCACTGTAGGCCAGGCCAGCCTGCCTACACTATGAAGTCGAGGCCGACATTTAACTCACTGAGATCCTCTTGTTACAGCCTCCTAAATGCTGCAATTACAAGCATAGCAACTTTTAAAAAAATCTTTTTTTGAGCATACCAAGGCCATACGCTACCAATGAGCTATGCACCAGGCCCCACAAATAGCTTTTAATTTTTTTATATTTATTTGTGTGTGTGCAACTGTGAAAGTCCGAAGTAGAGGTAAGGTGTTTGTCTTCTCACTCTCCAACCTGGCTAGGCTGGCGGCCAGAGCTCTCCAGGATCTGCTTGTCTGCTACTCCAGTGCTGGAGCTACACGTGTATGTTGCCATGCCTAACCTTCTTCTTTAAATAAAAAAAATATTTATTATGTATACAATAGTCTGTCTGTGTGTATGTCTGCAGGCCAGAAGAGGGCACCAGACCTCATTACAGGTGGTTGTGAGTCACCATGTGGTTGCTAGGAATTGAACTCAGGACCTTAGGAAGAGCAGGCAATTCTCTTAACCACTGAGCCATCTCTCCAGCCCCATGCCTGACCTACACAGGTGCCAGGATCCGAGCTCCTCACGCTTGTCCAGCAAGCACTTTACCCATATCCCCAGCTCCCACCGTTTTTAGCCTAAGGATGTCCCCAGCATCACGCAGGACAGCGTTATACTAAAAACACAGAATCATCCTCCATAGACTCAATGTGATGTGGGCACTGCCAGGGGATGACAGGGAATGGGGCAAATGAAAATTCCTGCTGTCTGCAAGTGGCCAGTCCTGACGTCACTACCTGGAACATCCCATAGGGGTCCACACACAGCCCTACCACACATATCCCTGGGAAAATGCGTCACCCGCCCGCACACCTATCCTCTGCTCTGCCTGGCCCATCTTTCTGCACGGGCTGTCCTGTCACAGGCTCTCCTGGTGACCCAGGGTCTACTGTGCCCACACCCACCATGAAGTGGAGGCGGCTCTCAGTCTCCATCAGCACATCCAGCTGTAAGCTCAGCACATCCTTTGGGAAGAAGGTCGGGCTGGAACGGGTCAGGGTGGCTGTGTACCCCGTCTCTGTGGAATTCAAATTCTCTAGCCGGTAGCTTGGGTAACTGGGAGGGAAGAAACACCAGGGCTGTCCCATCAGCACTTGCCCGGCTGGGACATAGCAGCAGCCACGGGCCTCACACTCCTCCTGGGAGATGCCCTTGTCTGGAGCGCAGTCAAAGCGGCTGTTGGGGGGCACGTCGCACTTCGTGGGCACTGCTGCAGGCTGCACATGGTGTTCCTGGATGTGCTGGGGCCCTGGCCTGTAACCCTTCCAATGGTGAGGCCTAAAAGTCTCTTCCAGTCCTGAAGAGGACTCAGGAAAGTCTTGGGGAAACAACATTAAGTCACGGAGCATGAGATGACCCAGAATGATCGCGGAAATAAAGGAGATGAGGGCGCAGACCCCAATCACAGAGTGGGAGCAGAGAGGCTTCCTCATCTTCATGGTGAAAGCCTGTTGGCCCGGAGCAGCATACACAGCCATGGAGGCCTGAGGAGAGGAAGATCTAGTGTCAATGCAGGCGGGGGTCATGGGGTCCTGGGTGCATTCACACAGCAGCACCCACACACAGTGCAAGGGGGAGCAGGCAGCCAGAGTATCTCCCTCCACAGCAACGGTGAGGAAGGCAGAAGCCAGGTAGAGGAGATCAGACTCCTCAGAGGTAGAGGGGTTGCTGCAGACACTGCCCCCACATGGCCCCACAGCCCTGGACAGACCGATGTGAAAGGGAACCAGGACTTTATTCGGAGGTCTTCTGTGTGAGCAGAAAGGCTGGGGAGCCATCAAGTCAAACCCCATGGAGAGAATGAAAAGAAGTGGGGTGAAAAGCTCAGGTCACAGGGTTCTCTGGCTATAACTGGCCACAGAGGTGTGGGGGCCTTCCAGAAATGGGACTCATTTCAGGATGTGGTGGGGACAGGGTGGGACTCGGCACGGGGGTGGGGGGAGTACTAGAGGCTCTCTGGGTCACCAGACATACTCAAGAGACAATGGCCTGGTTGCAGATGGGCCAGCTGTGAATATTCTGACCAGCAATTGGGGCTCTTTAGGCTGACAGTTAAAGTTTTACCCATAATACCTGTGACTTTCTCCTGCTAGTAACTCTCCAGCTCCCTAGTAACCTGCAGGGGTGTGGGTGGGTGGGATGAGGGGTGAACTCCAACCCATTCAGTCTGATCTATTTGTCGTCAGGGCAGACTTCTCCAGGCTGGGGCTCTACCACACTTAGATGCCGGCTACAAACCCCAGGTTGCCACCAGTACTTCTGAGGGGCTGGCTATCAGTCTGGTAGTGTCAAGGACTCTGGCACTGGAACTCACACCTCAAGGAACTCAGAAAAGTGATATATATATACATATATATATATATATATATGCGCTATAACTCAAGAACAGCCAGATATGGGCTGGGAACAGGTGGGCGTGCCCCTGCAATGTGTGGAGCATCTGGGGTTCTGGGATGCTCCCTGAAGCTACCCACTTGGCTGTCACTTTGAGTTAGGGTTTCCAGAAGCCCAGGCTTGCCTTAAACTTGCTATGAAGCCAGGGATTCCTGTCACCACCTCCCACGTGCTGTGCTTTCTGGCACTGGATTTCACACCCAGCTCTACTGAGTTCCGTGGGCCTTCCATTATGCAGGCAGGACTGATGAATCAGTAGCCATGGTGAGTGATCGCTAGCCTCTCGGGGGAGTCAGGATGCTTGGGTGGGCTGCAGTTTCCAACCCTCCAATCACACCTTGTCTTTCGGTTGCCTAGCAGCCATAAACTACTAGGGACCCCAGCCTCCGTGCTAGCAATAGAAAGACAGTTAACCACAGGTGTCCAGGCATGAGCCAGAGACCCATTTTATCTTTGCTGCTGCGTAGCAGCTCCACCTGGCCCTTTGGACACGTGTGACACTGATCATGATTCAGCATCCAAGGACAATGACGTGCTCAGACTCCCCTTGGGCAGCGTGGGAATCTGCAGCTTCCAGGACCTTCCAAGGAGGCCCCGGTGCGCAACAGATAAATACGTATATCGAAACAAAGTCTCAGAAACAGAAACCAGACAGTTCTCTCAGCTCCACAATTTAGAGGGGAAAAAAAAACAGGGAAGGAACTAAAGATCAGACGCCACTACTATCTGGAGACCCAAGCTTGCTTTCTAGAAAGCTGCTGGATGCGCAGCGCAACCAGGCACAGGCGAGTCCAAACCCAAGCTTTCGAGACACCGTGCGCATTCTCTCTGTGCCACCGTGCGCGTTCTCTCTGTGCCTCAGTTTCCCCCTGCGAAACATACACACAGAGCTTGGCCCGCCCAGCACTGAGGGCACCCAGTAGAATCCGGAATTTTTTGCCGAAGCCTGTGGTGTTACTCAGGTCCCTGCCTGCGCCTGCCTGAGTCGGGGGTCGGGGTGTCCCACCTCTCTCGGTTTCTCTGCTCGATTCTCCCAAGCAGGAACAAACTCACTGATAGTCGGCCCCGCCGCCCTGAAGGAGGCCGCTCCTCCGGAGGCCCTCGGGCCTGAGACAGCCTTCGTCAGCGCTTCCAGCTCACCTGCGCAGCGCAAACGCCCTCCTGGCCGCAGACCCCCAAACCCAGCGAGATAGCGCGGGTCACGTGGTCTGAGGGCGGGGCTAGACCGCATGGACCACGTGACTCGGCCTCCGGCATGGGCGTTCTCGCTGCGCCCCCTAGTGGCTGCGGGCGGCAGAGCGCGCAGGCATTGCCGGGCGTGACGGGGAAGAAGCTGACACAAAGCAGGTCCAACCCAAGGCCACCCATTCAACACCTCGAAAGCTTCAGCGGGAGATGAAACCAATCCAGATTGTGAGTTCCGTCATCTTGCTCCGTAGGGAAACGAGTCAAAAACACGTGATCACACACACAAAAAAAAAAAACCTACACTGGTGAAAGCATAAAATGACGTCAGCCTTTTGACACTGATGGCCATAAATTGAGACATAAGCACAGGGTGGTGGTGTGAGCATGTGATCCCAGCACTCGGGAGGCAGAGACAGGAAGATTGCTAATTTGAGTCAAACATAGGACACCTGGTGAGACCCTGTTTCAAAAACCAAAGTTGGCCAAGCAATGGTGGCACACGCCTTTAATCCCAGCACTCGGGAGGCAGAGACAGGTGGGTGGATCTCTGTGTGTTTGAGGCCAGTCTAGTCTACAGAGTGAGTTTCAGGACAGGTTCCAAAGCTACAGAGAAACTCTGTCTCGTGAAACCCTGTCTCGAAAAACCAAACAACAATGAAAACAAAACGAAAAACCCCAAAGTCGGCAGGCAGGATGTAGCTGGGGTAGAGCACTGGCCCACTGTGTTCAGGGGCCTGACTTCCTGTGGTGCTATAACTACTCTTGAGAAGATACTACAGGGGCACTTGAGCCCTCTGGTTGTCAAACTTTTGGAACAATGGACCCCAAGAAATTAAAACCAACCCCCCAGTCCCATACTGCGGCGGGGGAAATGTCTTAGAAGATACTGCACACAGTTCTGGAAGCTTGTCAGCGTGCAGAGCAGGGATGATTAGTGCCAAGAGATGGCCAGTGATGGACGGAACCTCACCGTGGCCAAGACTGCTTAGCCATCCAGACTTCTGCCCTATTAAACCTCACATGGAGACCCTCAAGGTGGGCCTGGCATGGATGGTGGTCCACTATTTGTGCCACTTCCCACTGTGGCCACATTTAATAACTCCCCCTTTGAAGCGTGAGTAATAAAAACTCTGAGAAATTGGGGTTCAACCTGAAGGTCAGAAAGGAAAAGCAGCCAGTCACTGGCTCTTACCTTGACCTCAGTCCAAAATGGTGAACCTGCCTCCAGAAATCCTCAGAATGAGATTGTGTGAGAGCTGTCTCCTCCCGTTTTATATTCCTCTCTAGTTCTGAGATTAAAGGCCTGCATCATTACTGCCTGGTTTTTATGGCAAGCTAATGTGGCTGCTGGGATTAAAGGTGTGTGTTACTGCGGCCTAGTCTGTAAGGCTGGCCAGTGTGGCTGTTTTACTCCTTGAACTTCAGTCAAGCTTTATTTATTAAAATATAAATGAAGCTGGGCGGTAGTGGTGTGAGTTTTCAATCCCAGAACTTGGGAGGCAGAGGCAGGCAGATCTTTATGAATTCAAGGCCAGCCTGGTCTACAAGAGCTAGTTCCAGGACAGGCTCCAAAGCGACAGAGAAACCCTGTCTCAAAAAACCAGTATCACTACACCTTTCTCTGCCTTTCACTGCTGTCTCTTTAATTGGCACTGGTGACAGGCAGCTGAGCCTAGTCTCTTGGGGCTGCCAGGCTTCCTATCAGAGATCAAACTCCATATCAAGCTGTGATGGACACACAGCCGACTTCACTTGCTAAGCAGAACAAATACACAGCAGGTACTGAAGGAGAGGGCCAGACAGGCAGGGGGTGTGTCCCAGGGGGGGGGGGGGGGGCCCCCGGGGGCGGGGGGGGGGTCTCCTGGCCTTTTGGCTGTTTTTGTATTTCATTGTTAGGATGAACTTGTCTTACTCCTTTGAGCCAGAAATAGCTTTCATAAATTTTATTTTTCTGTTGTAAAGTTTAAAACTGAAATTATTCCACAGTACATTTTCTATTTCATAGCTACAGAAGCAAAAAGGCAGCTGGTGCTCAGAAATCCAGAGGAGGGGAGGTAGGGATGAAGAGGACAGTCAGAGGTGGGTGGATGGGCGCCAGGTAGGTGCCTTTACTGACGTGGTTACCACCTCTCTAAGGTAGACATTTGCCCTCCTTGGAATCCTGGGGTCCTTAGCTTTGATCTTTGGGTTTCCATCTCTTTTAATGCTTCATAGGGGGTGGGGGCAGGAGAAGGCGGAGCTTTCTGTGGGGTGGAGTTGGGAAATCAGAATGAGGGTAGCTTGTGGGCGTCAGATGGGCTGGGGCAGTCACTTGAGGGCCAAGGCAGTCTGGTCCTCTCTCCCTTACTTGCTGCACAAGGCCGAGGGCCTGTCCCAGGACAGTGTGATAGGTATCAGATGCAGGCCACGGAACTGCCAACAGAATGGACTTACCTGGATGGGTAAGCCCAACAGGAGAGAGTGGATTTTTATGCCCAGGTAATGCCTCTGCCGGCAGGCGCGTTCACCCAAGCAGATCAGGTATGAACAGGACAGTGGCTGTGATTGAATACAGGTCTGGCTTGTCCGTGTTACCCAAGTAGAGTGTCATTCTAGGGGACATGTGGCTTTTCGGAACGGGGACGGGGGAGATTCCTTGGGTCTCCATTAGGGCAGCCTTGGCGAGTGTGGGCCAAGTGCTGTCTAGGAGAGCTCTGGGGGCTCCAGCTTGCTGGCGATCTTCTGTTGAACCTTTCTCAGCACCTCCTGGTACTGGGGGTAGTCTTCCTGCACTTGGGAGAGGACGGCGTTGAGCTGGACCAGCCGGATGTTTAGACGCTTGCGCTCCAGCAGCAGGCTCTTGCTGTTGCGGTGCAGTAACACGTACTTCCCGTCCACTACAGCCTGCAGGTACTTGGCCCGCGTCTGCAGGACCACGATCTCCAAAAGGTTCTGGGTGGGAAAGAGACCCCGCATCAGTCCCCACAAGTCAGGAGGACTCCTGTTCTCCACCCAGACTGGAGGGAATGGCAAAGAGGAGAGGTGTTCTTGAGAGGAGAACCCAGTCGTCTCCGGACTCAAGGGGAAGGGTCTTGCATCCCAGACGGGAGCCATGCTCGTCCATGGGGGAGGTGTTCCGACTGCTCTGTGCCAGGACCAGTACTAGATACACTCCTGACACCCTGCGGTTCCGTTAGACTCAGCACAGCCGGCCCAGCTGGAAATCCTACTGGGATTCAGGTTTGCTGTGCCTCTCGCGTCTACCCTTGACGCCCTGCTCCACACTGCCACCGGGGCCTGGAGGGGGAATCCCCTTGGTTCCAGGGGACCCTCAGCCCTAGCGCTTTACACTGTCCCCCGGGGTCAGGACTTGCTCCTTCCAAGACTTGGTACAGTCTGGGCAGGCCCCTCTTGACCAGGCTACCCTGCCTACCTGAACAGCTTCCTCTTCTTCTCCCACCTCCTTGAAATCTTGACTCAAACATGTGTCTTTTTTCTCTTTCTTTCCTCCCTCCCTCCCTCCCTCTTTCCCTCCCTTTCTTTCTTTTTTGAGACAGGGTTTTCCCGTGTAACAGCCCTAGCTGTCATGGAACTAGCTCTGTAGACTCAAACATGTTTCTTACATAGCCTTCTTGGATTGCTTCTCTCAAAAACTCAACCCCTTGATTTTACTCGGAGGCCCTGACATCTTCCATCTTCGTGTAGCAAGAATTTAACCTTCAATACAGCCAGAGATTTTGTTTCTAGTCATTTGCCCAGGCATCCAAAATGGTGTCCAGCCAATAACGGGTAGAGATCAAAATGTGTGGTGTGACCAAGTCACAAGGGATGTAAACGTGAGCAGTTGTGTCACTGCCAGCTCAAGATGTAGCCGGTCCCCGGGGAGATCGTCACGGGGACACAGGCTTCTCTTGGGGTTCAGGCCCAGAGAGCTCCCAAGATTTACCTGCCGTTTCAGAGCGGTGAGCTTGTTGATCTCATCTTCCAGAACATCTATGTCACCCTGCATATCCGCCAGGGACTGCTGCTTCTCCTGAAGGGAGCTGCTGAGGAGCTTTTGAGATTCTTCCAGTTCTGAGATGGTCTTGATGCATCCCTCTGTGGCCTAGGGAAGAAGCAAGACCCAGCAGATTCCTGCCTCCCCGTCACTTAGCAGACGGAGGCATCCGGCTAAAGACCAACCACGTGCCTCGGAATAATTATTCTGGGGGGGGGGGCATTCCTGTATCAGTCACGTTTCTATCCCTGAGAAGGAAGGATTCGTCTGGGCTGACAGATCCGGAGGGATCAGAGCCCGTGGTGGCTGGCGCAGAAAGCTGAGGGCTCACATCTTCAGACCACAAACACGAAGCAGAGAGAGTGAACTAGAAATGGTGTGAGTCGTTAACCTCTCAGAGCCCGCCACCAGGGACACTTCCTTTAGCAAGGCCATGCCTCCTCAACATGCCCAAACGGTGCCACCAGCTGGGGACCGAGTATTCTATGGGGACATGTCAGTGACCAGCTTCGACAAAAATACCACTTGCCAGGGTCGGGATCTGGGGATTAGAAAGGTTAGTAAGGAGGACTAAGACTGAAGTGAAAATAATAAGACAGAAGCATAGGATAGTACCGGGAGGGAGTTCCAGTGAACACTGAAATCACCCGCGTTTAATTTCCAGTTGCTTAAAATACCCCGACCACAACAGGTAGGAGTAAGATAAAAAAAAAAACTGCATTAACATGGTACAAGGAAATGAACAGACCAGCTGAAGGTCATGGGCTACATTCTTAGTTAAACACCGGTTGCTAGAACCAGACAAGTAATGCTCACACCCTACACCAAAACAGTCTGTAGGCAAATCACGCCTGGGGTGGAATCCATTGTTATCTCCCTAAGGGAGTAGGAACCTAGTTGGGTCCTTAGATTTTTGTTTGAGGTAGAAACAGATCTACTTCTCTACACCTGAAACACA